TCCTCCCTCCCTCCTTCCTACACAAGGAGCAAGGAGGACGAGGAGGAGGGAGGAGGATAAAGAGGGAGGACGAAGGATGGAGGGTGGGAGGGAGGATGATGAGGGAGGAACGTGGGAGGGGGAGGATGGGGAGAGGGGGGAAGGAAAGGAGGAGGATGGGAAGGACGGAGGGCGGATGACGATGCGGAAGGACGTAAGGAGGAACGGGAGGAGGATGGCTCAATCGAAGCTCTGGCGCTCTGGGGGGGAGCACACCTCTCTGAGGGGCATTCAAAAAATGAATCCCTTTCCCGTCCCGTTCCTCTTCCTCCTACTCTTCCTCCTCCTCGCCCCGTCGCAGAGGGCATGTTGTGAATGTTGCCAGAAGAGATGGTCCATTCCTCATCCTGCCTCCCTCCTTCCTCCTCCTTCCCTCCTCCCTCCCTCCCTCCTCATCCGAAGCCCAGAAGGGAACCTTCCTCTGCCACAAAAGGATTGCGCGAAGGATCTCCCGCAAGAGGAATCAATTTACGGAGGCTCCTCCACATAAGGATTGTGTGGAGGATCTTCCACAAGAGGAATCAATGTACGGAGGCTCCTCCGCACAGGCAGAACCAATATGCACATTCCACACAAGGAGCAAGGAGGACGAGGAGGAGGGAGGAGGATAAGGAGGGAGGACGAAGGATGGAGGGTGGGAGGGAGGATGATGAGGAGGGAGGAACAAGGGAGGGGGAGGATGGGGAGAGGGGAGACGGAACGGAGGAGGATGGAAGGACGGAGGGAGGATGACGATGCGGAAGGACGGAAGGAGGAGCGGGAGGAGGATGGCTCACTCGAAGCTCTGGGGAGGGGGGGGGTCATAGCACGCGGGCCTAAATTCTAGACGTCGGCATAATTCGCACGAGCGAGGGCGGGGAATGCAAGTCATATTGGCCCCTGCGGGGGCCTGGATCTGGCCGCCGAAATCTGGCCTTGTCGGGCACCGCGGCGGCCCGAGGCTGTTGATGGTTCTCTCCATTTCGCTTCTGTGACACACTGCTTTTCGTTGGTTTGCTATCTGGTTGCTTGTGTTTTCATGTGTTTGGCTCTTGCTCTCTTTCTCTCTCTCTCTCTCTCTTTCTCCTCTTTTATGTGCTAACTATACCGTGCCCTTTTGCACCTCCTCCTGTCCCCGATCTACTCGCTCCTTCTCTCGCCCTGCAACTCGTTCTCACCTTGACTCCTCCTCTCTTCCCCCTTCAATCTTCTGCGGTACTGCACCTCCCTTCTCTCTCTCTCATCTGTTTGCACTCCCCCTCTCTTCTCTCGTGTATATGGAATCTCGCTCTTCTCTCGTCTCGTTTCTGTTCTCTATCCCTCTCTCTCTGCTCACCCTATCGTTCCTTGGATCCTCGCTCCTCCTCTGTCTGCCCTCCTCCCTATTTCTTCTTAGCCTTCCCTTTCCCACTTCCAGATTCCCTGCTCCTTCTTCCCCTCTCGCATTTGCCTTGCCGCTCTACCCTCCAACTCACCTCACCGCTTCTTTCTTCCTCACCCCTTCAGCCCTACTATGTTTACGATGTGCTTCACCTCTTCTCTCACCTTAACTTGCCTCTTGATTATCCTCTATTCTCCTTTCTCGTATTTCTCCTCATTCCCATATCCTTCTTTTGTCTCATCCCCTAGCCTCTTCTGATTTCCCCGCTCTTCCCTTCAACTTCCTCCTCATCTGTTCACTTCTCTTATCATCTCAAAGCCTCCACTTTTGAAGCGAACACATCACATAAGGAGGAGGAGGAGGTGGAATGGTGTGCTCGCCAATGGAAGGGGGCGGCCAACTATGATCAGTGACATACACGACAAGAGAAGACTTGTCAATCTCCGAAGTGCCCAAATGTACCTGCTACATCCGTGCACGTACGCGCGATCTGTCGTGCGCATGGGCAGCGTCAGGAGGAGGAGGAAGAGGAGCAGGAGCAGGAAGAGGAGGATGAGGACGACAAGGAGGGACTGGACTGGTCTGCACTGGACTAGGACCGGCTGGCTCACTCGATTGAACTTGGCTGGCCCAGACTGGCATGGATTGGCTGCACTGGGACTGGGACAGACTGCATAGACGTTGGCTGGGCTTTGCTGGGCTGGCCATGGCCTCCCTGGCTTCCTAAAGATGCCCCGGGGTACCCATGGATCTCTGTCCGTGCGAATGTGGCGGTCCTATGTGCATGCGAATAGGGGATGGGTGGGACGGGCACGAACAACTTCTTCCAGCAACAGGACCTCACACATGCAGGCTTGCGTCAATAACAAGCAGAAGCCCACTGCGTCCAAGACAAAACAAGCCCGACGCAGGTTCTCGCTTCCAGCCACCCGGCACGTGCGGCAATCCCATAATCTCTCTGGGCTCAGGCAGTTCAGCGGGCCAGCTCTTCTGGCCCCTTCTTCCCTCTCAGGGGAATTCTTACCCACCCTCTTTCCCTGGAGTTGAGAACGGGTGGCTCGATAGGTATTATAGGGTTCGATTTGACCCTGGGTGGCCCCAAGATCATCCCAGGAGGCCTCATATTGTATAGCACAGCCCGGATTGGAACACTGTTACCTCCGACATGCCTGAAAAAGGGCCGAAGACCGCCGCACCACGATCCGAGGTGGCCACGGAGACTCACAAGGATGCCCCCGAGAGGCAGACATCTTTCAAAACTTTGAAATTTCGGTGATGTGTGGTATCTCCTCTTTTCGCCTCCCATGTGCTTCCGAGACGGCAAGATGGCACCACTATGGCCCAATAGTCCAACGTGAGCCCAGGAAGAGCCCCCAGAGTGCTCCAAAGGCCACCAAGAGGACTCTAAGCGAATGCCAAGAGAACCCTGAGAGGGGATTGCTCTTGTCCACAAGGGATGGGTAATGAGCCACCCCCGCTTTTTGATCGATGTGCCCAGGATGGCTCCAAGAGGACCGAAAAGGTCTATAAGATGTCCCCGAATGTCCCCAACCTGCCACAATATGGCTTCAACAGGCTTTCGATCTGCTCCTAAACGTACTCGAACTGGTATTTTTTGGGAGCTGCCCGGACGATCCCTAACTTTGGTTTTACGGGTGTCCACCACCTGTGCTTTGATCACCTGATCATTCTTCTCATGACAACTCGCCTGGGACTGATTCCTGGATGGGCTGGGGAATCCGAGAAAGGCGTCAAGAATTTTCTGGAAGAACTCCTTTGTGCAAGCCTGTTTCGCGGAAAAACCGAGGTCCTCCCGTCAAGGACAATCCCGACACGGACTTTCTGTTTTTCAGCCACTCTTGACGTGAGACAGTAAGTCTTGTGGAACGCACCCGCTGCATTGGAACAATCATGCCTTGCGAGTAATACGTGGCCTCGAGGCCGTGAAAAAATAAGATTCAATGGCAAGAGGGCTCCTGCCTCCACGAAGGAACTCTACACTTCAGTAAGCCGTTCCGCGTGGGGAAACCACTTCGCCAACAATTCCGTCAATCAGCCGAGGCGGCCAGGGCTTTCAGCCGAGCGCGCTCTGCCAGCCTTTCGCCAGCAAGTCCAGAACCCAACGAGGTCCCCCCTAAGGTCCCCGCCGAGCACACTGGACTCGCAACAGAGCCGCTGGCCCAGACGAAGAAATTTAAAATCCGCCGGGCCCAGCTTGCTGGGGTTAAGGAGGCGTGTGAGATGCTTGCCTGTCCCCCATCCCCCTTTCCCCCTCCCCTGGGGCTCTCAATCCAGTTCCAGAGGGGCGGGGATGGGTGGCCTACGAGCTCCCCAACGCATCTCTGGGACCTTCGGGGCTTCCAAATCGATCCTCCGTAGCCTCCGAGATGGCCCGGATGCTTGCTCAAACTGCTCCAGAATGGCTTCAGCACGCTGGTGACACCTCAGAACATCTCAGACCAAGGGGCTCCTGAAGACGCCCCAAGAGGGCCCCCTCCCTAGAATTCCAAGATCCCCGGCCGAGGGGGGGCGGGTGGGCCTCTGAGCTCATGAACTGCGGCAGGTTCGTGCGGCGTCGGCGCGCGTAAAGATTTTTGACCGCGTCGATCGTTCAGCCTTGACACGATCGCGGCCCCGATCGTTCAAAATTGAATTCCGTCGGGTCCAACGGCGTTACAATGTCCCTCGGCGCTTCCGCGTCGCAGAATTTAACGTTGAGCGCCTTCGCCGGCGTCGCCAGCGCGCCAATGCCGCACGAACCTTCCGTATGAGCAATCGGAGCCTGCAGCTTCAGCGTCTGGCGCTTCCAGGATACCCTTCAAGACGGGTCAAGAACGACTCTATCATGTCTAGAGGGCCTCAACAACAGTTTCGGGAGTCGTCGGAGACCCCAAGAAAGCCCTGAGATCTCCCGATAGGGAAGACACCCCACATAATGATAAACATTGTTTCAGTCTGGACAATAAAACACACTCGCTGTATCGCTTCCATATGGGCCCAAGCGGGTCCAGGAGGCCACTAGAAAATCCCCAAGCAGCCCAAGCTGTCCGTCCCCAGAGACTCCAGGCTCGCCAAGAAAGCCCCAGGACTGTCCAATTCGGCTCCAAGAACCCCGCAGGGACGCCAAGGTGGCCCCAGAAGGCCCTACGAAAATACTAAAAAGACCGACTCTGCATGGGCCCACGATTGCCACAGGCTCTAATTTTGGTCACGCATGTGTCGAAGCCATACGCCCGCACACTGATAGGTTCGGACATTCGCGGGGCAAAACCCACATGGAAGAATCACAATTCGAGGCCTGCGGATGACTCAAAACGAACCCTAGGAAGTGTTCGGGCCGAGGTGCCCAACATGGCCTCCATGATGTTTCCACTTCGCACGAACGTCAACTCTATGATGGCTGGTCGTCCTCCCTACGAAGCATCCGGCTTGCAAACGCATGCAGACTCCATCGTCGCGAATTCCCTCTTCAAGAGGTTGGCGGAATGGCGTACGCCTCTTGAGTTACACCGCTAACTGCACGAACGGCCTGCAAACAAAAACGTGCATAGCCCTCGACGCAACACAACGGTGACGTATGGCTCGAGCGATGCCCCGTCGATCAACAATGGATCTGTGGATGGGAGCCCTTCCGCTGAATATCCCGTGCCTTCATGCCCACGCTTTTCAGCATTGCTGTCAGCGTCACCTGCGTGCCCTTCAGGATGAAGGGGAGGATCGCCCTGGTCGGGGCGTGAGGATCGACGTGCGATATGAAATGCACAACGGTCCCATTGTGTCCTGCCGTGCCTTGCCACGGGGCGATCAGCACACTGGAGTGGCACAGATCCTGTCCCGTTTGCACGCCCGCCTCCAAGGCGAGCTGGCTGGTGTTCGAAGAGGTCGCGACCGTGTAGCCCCTCTTCGTGTCGCACTCGAAACGGTGCGCAGCCCAGTCGGCAGTGAAGCGTCTGCCATACGTGAGCTCAATGGGCCCCGGCAGGGGGATCTCCGTGACCTTCGGGTCCACCCAAAAGGGAGGCTAGGAAGAGTGGGGACGTCCCTCATGGCCCGAGACATGTGCGCGGACGAAGGGGGCGCGGGACTGCATTGAACTCATCCTGGCAACGGAACTAACCATATGCAGCTGCGAGTACCGCGAGGCAGGTGACACGAAGGAGGGGGGGCAGCAAAAGGACTGGTGCGTGAACGAGGACGAGAAAAGCGGGCATGGGCGGGCGATGGGGGATGAGACCCATACCCCTTCCCGCCCGTTTGCATCCGTAAGCTGGGGTTGGAACGCGGCCTGCTCGCCCCCTGAACCTCATCATCCTCATCCTCACCCTAACGTTTCTGTTTGTCCGCCTGGTCCACATCCTCCTACACTTCATCCTGATCACCTCATCCTAACCCGAACTGCTTGGACATCTCAGGGAACCTCCGTTGAGAAACCACGTGTGACGCCCCCTCTAGGGCGCGATACGCGCGAGGGGCGCACCGAAGAAGGCGCGGCACCGCCATGCGGACCCTGCCGCTGCGGCATTCGGCGGAGCCCCCCATGGGGCCACAAAGGGTGTGAGGAGTGTACCGAAATGCGTGCGGCGCTGCCATGCGGGCGCTGCCACTGGGGCCTTCGGCTGAGCTCCCTATGGGGCCACGGAGCGTGTGAGGACTGTGTCGAAAGGGGTGCGGTGCCGCCATGCGGGCGCTGCCACTGGGGTCTTCGGCGGAGCTCCTTTGAGACCATGACACATGTGAGGGGTGTGCCGACATGGATGCGATGCCGCCATGCGAACGCTGCCTCTGCGGCCTTCGGCGGAGCTCTGTATGAAACCACGACGCGTTTGATGGGGTGTGGTGATGATGGTGGTGGTGGTGCTGTCAACCGGTCGTGGCTCTCTAAATCCTCGACCGTACCTGTTCGAAGTCCCAATACCTGGCCGACTTCTGCTCGGCACTCTCCCTCGGAATCGCTCTGCGCTCGGGGGAAGGTGAAGGTAACAATTTTTGTCAGTAGAGTGGCCTCTCGAACTAAAACGGCAATCCATTTCAGCAGTGCTTGCTCCATGCCTGCTGCTTTACATCATATTACTGCTGACAGCTGTGCTGGGGAGGGGCATGCTTTAACCTGTTAGTCAGAAAACCTCTGACACACTTCCGAAAAACGCATTTTACGGAGTGCAATTCGCACTGGCGAGAAACTGAAATGAAACAACGGTTGTACTCCCACTCGCAGTGTACAAGACTCGCTGCAGCACAGGATGTGCCATGCCTTCGCTCGAGAGAAAAAAACTGCGCCAACTCGTGTCGCAAGCTGATGCTGAGAATAGCTTCATTGAGAGGAATAAGAACAATGAAACAGGAACTGGAGCAGGATGTAAATCGTAATTTGACGGGGCGCCTTCGCTCATCGTGTGGCTTCTGCTGCACCGCGCGCAGCTCTCGTGAGACTTCACAGCCTCTGTGGCAACCTTGTACCACGTGCTGATCTCTGCCTTGAGCTCCGTCTGGCTTGCCAACTGCGCTGAACCACGCCGGCTCCTGTACGCCAGCATCCCACTTGACGGTGCTCAGTCTAATCTTCTTCTCCTTCTGGATCTTCTGAAGTACTATCTCCTTCACTGGTTTGTGTTTTGGAAATACCTCGGGAGTCGTACTCCTCGTCGCGCTCTCTGGGTTCGTCTCGGGGTCTGTCCTCCTGGCCGCATTCACGTAAGCTACGTAGCCCACGATCTCGCAGAACAAGACAACTTCCATCATTCTGACCAGCACCCGTAGAAACATAACGAAAGGAATCGCCATCACTACTTTCAGGCTGCTGTCCCACGCGAAGTCCACCAGAGCATCGGTAGACTCGTCGTTGTAGATCGTCACCCTGTTTGCTTCTGCTGTAGCCAGAGGTACCATAGCCGCCATCGTAGTCGTAGTCGCCGTCGGTCTCGATGTCGCAGACTCTTGGATTCGGCTTGTCGGTGCTTGGCGGTCTTCTTCTTTCCTCGTCGGATGTCAAACTGATCGTTCTGGCCCTCAGACGGTTGGCTAGTAACTGTCGAGCGGCCAGCTTGGTGAATACGTCGGCAACCTGTCGCTCTGAGCTAACGCAGTACCAGCCCGTCACGCTGGCTGTCATGCGCTCCTGCAACACCTGCACCTCGATACCCGTCCGTTTGTCATCGAAGTTGTGCGCGTGGGGCTTCTGGGCCGCGTCGTAGAGAGCCGTGGCATCCACCGCGGTAGCGCTCCTGCCCAGAGCCGTCATGGTGCAGTTCAGCCTCGGGCCCTGCTTCGGGTCGAGCATCGGCCTGTAGTGCACCTTCGCAAACTCGAGTGCGTCCACTCCACCCCCTGCGGCCCGAGCCTCACTTGCCAATGGGGATCTGCTCGCCCGCGGTGGCTTCCAAGAACGCCAAACGACCACTGCGTCTGTTTCGGTCTTGCCGCTCAGCGCGCTCTTGTTCGCCGCCAGGATGAGGCAACCTCCCTGTGAGCTTCCGTCTCGCAATGCTGCCCGCGCCGCGTCCGTCATGCAGATGGGCGCCACGTCGTCGCAAATCTTGTGAAAGACCTGGCACACCTCGCTATTCGCCTTGGCGAACCGTAGTCTCTTGTTAGCATCCACTCGGTCCTGCGCAAAAGTGCCGTCGTTGATGGCGCCCTGCCCCAGACTGACGCTGCGCTGCAAGTGAGGTGCCGTCTGGTTGCTGGGCCACGCTACGCTTCCCATTCGTCCTCGTGGCTGTCGGGACTCACCCTCGGTGATGGCCACCTGGTGGTCGCTAGCTCTATTCTTCGTCATGGTGGTCGGCCTAAGCGACTTGATGTAGGCTCCACAGCTCATCTGGTGTCGTCGTTGGCGGTCTTACTGAGCTGGTTGCCACAGAAAACCATCGATGCGTCCCCTGCCACCGTGAATGGTGGTCGTGTCCTCCCATGTCCTGAAGTTGAAAGCCTTCTGGAGCACCTCGACCCTCGCGGCAAAGCAGGCCTCAACCTTCTCGTCGCTGCCTCCGCCCAGCATATCGTCCACGTGCAAACCGATGGCCCCGTCGAGCGCCGCGAGGTCCTCGTCCTTGTCCACGCGGTCGCACAAGGAAAGGCACGGGTCCAGCGGGTGAGCCGTGCGGTCGGTAGCCTCCTCCCACCAGAGCCTCGGCGAGTCATTCAGGCCATGCGTGCTCTTGAGCAGCTTCACCCTGGCACCTGGCTCACAGCCGAACATCCGGCGCGCCTCCGCCGGCAGGAATGCTGAAATACCGCGGTCTGAGCGCTTGCCCTGCAGAAGTGCAGTGCTGACATCGGAAGTGAACATGTTCCAACCATGTATACGAGCGAGCAGCACAGTGCATGTCCTGCTCAGTCTGGTCATGGGCAGTGAAGATTTGACCAACTTCCCTGCTATCGCATCTGGGTCTCGAAATCCTTGGATGACCAACCGTGCCTAGGCGCGGTCACTGCCGTCTTCGTTCCTCGTCCGCTGCAGTAGGCAGCGCGCCCGAAATGCCGCATTGGGGTCCGTCACTTCGTTCTTCTCCTGATACCGGGCCTGGCTGTCAAAGAAGCCCTGTAGCTCCACGCGCTTCGCTTCCGTAAACTTTGCCTTGCCACCAGCGTCCATATTCTTCTCGCTGAGTTCGTTCGTCGCGTAGCAGAACTCGTGGGTCTCTATGTCGTAGCTTCAGCCGGCTGTTAAGTCATCCACCTGAAGGACCAAGGCATCCTCCTGAATCTTCGCCTTATCGCATGGTCCTGATCGGTGTTCTTGTCGGCCTCGAGAAGCTGTGAACGTTCGTAGTGGTGCCATCTCCGCGGCGTCCGATCCGAGCTCCTCCTTATTTCCCTGAACCTTGCTGCCGGATCGACCGCCGGTCGAGCTGGGGCTGCGGGCTCTGCTGGGGCCTGTGTCGCAGCTGGCTGCTGCTGGAGGCCGGTGCCGTCATTATCTGGTATCGCTTGATCCTCTGCTGTGTCTGCAGGCTCTTGCTGGTCCCGGCTCCTCCTGTGGTTCCGAGCTCTGTGCAGACGCCTGCCTGCGCTGACCTGCCATGGCCTGCTCTAGCGTCGGTGCTTGGACAGCTCCGGATTCTAGGCGTGGTTCGGGTTCTCCCGTGGGGTCGTCACCTCGGTCCTCGTCGGCGGGCCCCGGCAGGTGGCTGACGTCGAAGAACTGCGCGAGACCTCCGCGTCGAAGTCCCTGCAGCGTGGCCTGGGCCTGCTGCGACTTCGCCGGTCGCGCGGGCTCGCCGGCGCGCTCCGCCGGGGGTCTGATCCTGTCCGTGCTGCAACGCAACAAGCCCCCGCCGCGCGTGATCTAGTGCGCCTTGGGCTGTCCACTCGCCGAGTTCTCGCGTAGCGCCACCGTCGCGGGGCCTCTCCAGCGTGACCCCTGGAGTCGGCTAGCTCTCAGATCGCGCCAGTAGTGGCGCTCCTCACCAGTGATCGCGACGTCGCGAGCGTCGCGCCTCTTGCGCGGGAAGGCCCTGCGCGGCCTCTCTGTCGAGTCCACCATGATGAACGCCGTAGCTGCTGCTGTGCGTCGCTGCGTCGCCCCTTGAAGCGTCTCGCCCTCCAAGTCGGCATCGGAGGCCGCCGCGTCTAGCGTGTCGGCGGACAGGGAGTCATTGAGCTCAGGGCTATGGCCAACGACCCGCGGTGCAAGACTGATACCCTTGTGGTGCATAGTGCGGTTGATTTGGTTTGGCCCGAAGTCCAGTCATGGAGTTCTCGATGGCGCGCTCCAGGCCGGTCCTCGAACCAGAATTCCAGCGTCTCGCGCAACGCTGGGTGAGCTCTCTCAACTGGCCCGAATGCATGATGGGCTTCGCCAGGCGCCGCTCGCATCGATGTTGCGCGTGCTGGTCCAATCGAGCATCTCCTGCTGCAGTCTGCGCGAGCGTCGTCGGGGCGCCGTAGTGTCTGATCTAGGCCTTCTCGATGGACTTGATGGCCTCGCTGGCGGTCTCTCGGGTCGCGCCCCAGGTCTTCTGGAACTGGCTGGCCGCGCCCAGCAGGTGCGCGACCTTGGCCAGGCCCGACCGCAGCTTGAAATCGAGGAAGTCCATGTCGAGCGCCTGGTTGAACGTCTTCCAAGATGGCGGAGCTGACTCGGGTGGCCGAGACGCCTTCGCGCGACCAGCGCAAGTCGGCCACTCGCGCCGCGCGGCTCCTCGAGCGCAGGATGACCTCCTCTCTCTCGCCAGCCGCCGTAGGCGTGCGAAAGGAGACCCCTGCTTTCGGGTGGCCCATGTTCCCGTGGAGGCGCTCCACGTACCTGGCCGCATTCCGGCTGTACTCGCTCCTCAGCAGCCGATTCGAATAGATGTCGTTGTCCTCGTCGTTGCTATGGTCCACCGTCGCGATGTGGACGTGCTCCATCGCGTCCTCGCATTCCTCGATGCCCAAGACCAGAATACCGATGTCGTACTCGTCGGGCTGCTCCAGCCAGTCGCTGCACTGGGCCTGCGACGACTGGGGAACATAGTTCTCGGCGAAGCTCGCGCGGTGGATTTTGGTGCCCGGAATATTGCCTTCCAGGTGAACGTGCCCATGTTGGTTGTCGCAATGATACTCGTGGAGTTCGAATGCCATTCCTCGTCAGGTAGCGCGAAATCCAATATTTTCCGTGCCGGGTCTTCTCCTGGAACCTCCAGTCCAGCCATGCGCTGGTCGGGGGGCGCATGGTGGCTGGGCAGTTCGCGCAACGCCGTCGCCCTCCAGCTGCGGGCCGCAGCAGGTTGCCCCGCGCGTGCGCGTCGACCTCCGCGCCGCTGCTTGAGATAGAACCTTCGGCAAAACATCGGATGGGCGCGGTGATCCTCCGTGCGTTCCTCCATTGAACGCGTTCGAGCCATCTCCGTCTTGCAACTGCGCTCCTGCGTGATCGACCATGGCCTGCACTCGGGGCTGCGCTCGACCAGCTGGAGAAACTTCCTCTGCGCGCTGTTCCCGCTGAAATCCCCGCCGTTGCGCAATCCGAACATCCTTGCTTGATATCGGAATGGCCGCCAAAGACCTCCCATATGTTTGCGCTTGCCTTTTTTCCCCGGATTTCTCTCGCCTTCGGGCTGTCCAGGATCAGCTCCTTGCTGGCTTTCTCTACTGAGTCTTGCCATCGGCGAAGAGATTTGACACTGAGGTCTTTGTCCAAGCGTCTGCTGTCGTCACAATCGGCATGCTTGTGATTTATCTCCGCCGTGGCGCCAATGACATCCAAGGACTCCTCGTGCGGCGGCGCCTCTTCTCCAAGAGTCGCGCGCGGGCTGAAAGGGTGCTGCGCGCGAACAGGGTCCAACATATTCTGCGGCAAGAAGGTCCCGTCCACGCGTTCCTTCATGCATGCGTCGACACTCTCCAACGCGTTGATAGTGACGTGTCCACGTTGTGACTCCTCGGCGTGATTGAAGCCAAGTCCCGTCGCCATCCGGGCGCGCTCCCTTATTCTTGCAATCAGCGGCCATGCCGAGCTCCTCCATCACATGTCTGGCGAACAGAAATGGCGTCAGACCTGGGGTCGCGTAAGTGAGAATCTCCGCGAACCTGCCTTCAGGAAACGCTCGAATCATCGCGCATGCTATCGCCTCGCCGGTCGCGTCGTTGCAATATCTGAAAATCTGGAAGCATGGAAAGAACTCCATCTGCGTCGCTCGGAAACTTTTGGCAACCATATGTTTACAATCTCCCTTGATCGTCTCGTGCCCAAGGATCACGCGGGTAGCTCCACTGTCGTGTATGGCCTCCGATGGGTCGAGTCCGCTTGAGTTGTGTCTGTCCTCCGTCTCGTTGGTGGTCACCAGTCGTGCCTCTGCCTCATCATCTCCAACGTGCTGTCTCTTGCGACCTTGCCGCGGGCAATCTCTAGCGAAATGACCTCGACCTCCGCATCGTAGGCAAATCGTCTCCTCTGTGGTTCGTGGTGGTGGGTGGCGTGGCTGTGACCCGCGTTCTGCTTTGCTTCGTCCTCCGGGTGAGCCTCTTTTGTGCCCAGCCTTTTCTCTGCCTTTCGGTGGTCCGCGTGCCGCGCCTCGTCCTCGGGATTGACCTGCTCAGGGGACGACGGGCACCGTGCTCCTCAAGTGGTGGCGGTGCCATGGCAACCGCCAGATAGAAACCTCGAGCCAATCTCATATCGTTCATCTTCTGCCGTGCGTCCGTATACGTTGTCATGATGTCCTCGTGCTGGTCCACATCATGCGCCTGGTCTGGCATGGGGTTGTTGATCTTGGCGGCCTCGATGTCGTAGGCCGCCTCCGCATCGAAACTCTGTCGTTGGTGGTCTGTGTAATGATTATCACCGCCATCGTCGTAGTAGGCGTGTTCGTCCTCGTCTCTGTAGTAGGCGTCCTCTTGGTGCTCGTCGTGCCCCTCATACTCGTCCATATTGTAGGCTGCTGCTCCTGAACCCGCTCGGTGGCTTGGAAGGGAGTCCAGGCCGAACGTCTTCGTTACCTCGCTCTCGACCTGGATCAGCATAATCTCGTCTCCCATTTGATTCATGCTGAGCTTCTTGCTTTCTTTGTCCAGCCCCGCCCATCGCAAAACCAACCAAGCACTTTGTTCGGTAACGCCACTTCATGTGATCGCAACTTCCGCTCCGATGCCCAGAACTTCGTGAAGTAGTCAATCCGGGTCTCCTTGGGTTTGCGGGCTGCCTTGAAGAAGCAAATTATCGGAGTGTGTGTGTGTGTGGGGAGTTCCGTGATCTGATCATATCTGTACGCCTTGTCGAACGCTTCGAAGACGGTCTGCCAGCCCTTCTCCTTCTCGATCTCTGTTTTCGGAATGTGTTCGGCCTCCTCCCAAGCTTTGCCCAACGAACATTGCATGATCTCGAGCCCTACTTCTTTCTCCTGTTCTCGACCTCGAGCTCTCGCGGCGTAGATGTCCACCTTCTCTCTGAACGTCTTGTAGCCATCGACCGAACCATCGAACTCCAGGGTTCTGCCGATGAATGCTGTCGAAGCCTGGCCGCCTTCATCTCGTCGTGCTGCTGCGGCTGCTCCTTTTCCCCACTAGGCGGTCCCATGGGTTGTGCTGAATAGTCGTCGTCTGTCCGTGGAGCAACTGCTCAACTACCAGTGTCAACCGGTCGTGGCTCTCGAAGTCCTCGAACGTACTCGGTTCGATGTCCCTATCACTGGCGGACTGCTCCTCGACACTCTCCCTCGGAATCGCTCTGCGCCAGGGGGGCGGTGAAGGGGGCAGTTTTGGTCAGTCGAGAGGCCTCCCGAACTCAAACGGCGATCCATGTCAACAGTGTTTGTTTCATGCCTGCTGCTAAAAATCAGATTGCTGCTGACAGTTGTGCTGGGGAGGGGCATGCTCTAACATGTTAGTCACGAAGCCTCTGCAACACCTCCGGAAACGCACTGTACGGAGTGCAACTCACAGGTGCTGTTGCTGCTGATGATGATGATGCTGCTGCTACCGATGATTATGGTGACGAGGGTGATGAGGATGACGATGGCGATGATGGTGGTGATGAGGATGCTGATTCTGATGCGACTGATGCTGGTGCTTTTTCGGGTGAAATAAATTAGTGCGTTAACCACTGGATGAGTGAAGATCCTGAGCATGAGTGAGGACAATATGATATTGGTGGCGATCATGGTGCTGCTGCTGAAAATGAAGATTATGACGATACTGCTGCTGTTGATGATGATGGTGATGAGGATGACGGTCATGATGCTGTTGCTACTGATGATGAGGAGGACCAGGATAACAGTGACCATGATGATGGCACGCGGAGAGCAGAGGCAATGCGAGGAACACGAGAAGGAGCAGCGGGAGGTGAGAGTGAGATGCGGGGCGCTGTCTCTTCAAAACGAAAACCCAACACCACAGGATGGCTGGGAACCAAAACAAAAAGGCCATGGAATCTGGGAGATACCATGGCCCCGGCCGTGACACCCCCTAGTCCTCACGCGCGCATGTCGAAATCATTCGAACGCCCCTGCGCGCGTGCCGGGGGGGCACGGCCCCTGTCAAATGCCAGCCCCGCGGGCCACTCGCGCCAGTCGGCCGAAAGCGTGCCTGTCGAGATCCTCCCAAACAAAACCTTCATCGCTGACACGACGGCACCGCCATCGTCAGCGGCGTGGGTCCCCTCTTGTGGACACCCCCGAGACCTGGCCCAGGATGTGGAACGATGAGGGCTCCTTGGCGGCGGCCTCCAGCGGCGCGGCCCTCCCCTCGCCGGGGTAGAAGGCCTCGGGGATGCCCTGGACCGCGGGAGCGAAGCGGTCCTTGCGCAGCAGCACGTCCTTAATGCCCGGGTTCCAGTCCAGCCCGTAGTCTGGGCTCATCAGCACCTCCTGCACGAACACCGGGTCCACGCCCTCGACCACGGCCTCCATGTGCAGCACCGTCGTCGCCCTGGCGGGGCCGCACATGGTGCGGCTGGTGGCGTGCCAGCCGAACACGTGGGCGTGCCCGGCCACGCCCCGCGCCTTCACCTCGCGCATCTTGAGGGGCGCGTAGCCGGGGCCCTCGCCCGGCCCCCACTCGGCCGCGCGCAGGTACGCGTCGTTCCTCGATGCAGAAACAACGGCGCAAACATAAACTTTCGACAGCCCGCGCGGATTTCTTGGATCGGCGCTGGGGCCCCCCTGGCGCGGGTGGTCAAGCGCGGAGCCACGAGATCCACGCGGACCTAATTATGCGTGTGCCTCTTTTTGTTCCTCTGGTGCGGGCCTCAAGAATATACACCATCACCACGCCGACTCCTCCTCCCTCCTCTACCCTCCTATTCCTTTTCCTCTCTCCTGGGAGAGGGAGGGGGTGAGGGAGGTGGTGGTGGTGTATACCTTTGGGCCCCGCATCTGGTTCCCCTCGAGGTCGGCCAGGAGGGCCTCCGGCGACAGCACGGCCCACAGCTGCTCGGCCGGGGCCTCGCCCGGCCTGCCCCGCCGCAGGGTGGCGGCGGCCGCGTAAACCACGAGCAGGCCGACGGCAACCAGCAGGGCGAGGCGCAAGCAGGCGCGGCGCGCGGGCCTTGGGCACTGCTTCAATCGGGGGGCGATCAACGGGCGGCCCCACTGTGGGCCCCTGACACGACACCCTCCTTCCCCCCTCCATTTACCCGGCGGTCGGAAGAAGTGGGTCGAAACATGAGTAGGAAGGCGTTGAAAGCAGATCGGGCTTCCGCCTGCCTCCCTGAGGTTGAGGGCGCAGGGAACACGACTCGACTCTTGAAGAAGGGAAGCGCCCAAACTAAAATGAGACTTGGGTGTCCAGATATACCTACGTTCAACGACCGGCGTGTGTCGCCCCTCCATCACGCAACGCCCGAGGGCCTGGCCGCCTTGCCCGTGTCTCTGGCTGCGGCGGCCTTGGCGAATCCCTTGCGGAGTGCGCAGCGGGAAGGAGCCATCGGGTGGCTCACGGTCGCGGGTGGGCCGGATGGCGGCCTGGGATTCGTGGCGCTGTATGGGAATCCGAACCGCCGCGGAGCTTGAGCCCAACCGGCTGCGGAGAGCGAGCGGGGGCGCTCTCTGAAAGCGTGGCGCGAAGCGCGGCGCTTCCAACACCTACTCAGCATGCCGTTATCTATTTCACGGGTTCCCTTGCACACTGCCTCTGGCACTTAGCGGAACGCCCTCGCGTCCTTCATGCTAATCCGTTTTCAATCTGCAGGGGAATCATGTGTTTTGGAATGCGCAACTTTCGGAATTATAACGAGGGTGGCCGACCCTCCATTCTTGATGTTGCCGAAGTTTACCTAATGACCATCTACAGGCCTGTCTTCGATCTGCCTGCCCGGGTTGGTCACAATCAAATTCTTGAGCCCATGAAGCCCGTCTGTGGGCCCTCTTGGGGGTGTTTCGGCCCCTCATGAATGATTATAGCCGTCCTGGGCCATCTTGACCCATGGTGGAACCGTCCTGGCGCCTCTTGCGACCATCCTGGGGCTCTTGGAGCCGCACATGGGCATCAGAGCCTTCCAGGTTGCTCCGCGATGGTCCCCGAGATTCCCGAGGGAGTCCCAAGAGGGGGCCGAGAGGGCCCTCAAACGGGCCCCACGAGGGCCCCAGACGTGATACTGCGAGCGGACCCCAGGAGCGCAATGTGGGGGGGATGGTCAAGCCTCCCTCCCTAACGTGTACCCAATACCCCAGGGCTCCTTTCTGAGCCCGTTCGACGTCTGAGCCAATTCGGCCGCCGAACGGACTCACGATCGAGCCCACTCGGCGGCCGAACGGACTCAATTCCTGCGACCCTGTCGGAACTGAGCTCATTCGGCTGCCCATTCGGCGGCCGAACGGACTCAGACGCCGAACGGGCTCATAAGGGAACCTCGAGGTACCCTCAAGCTGCCCTCAAGATTCTCCCAACGTGCCCTCAAGAGGCGTCATGAGGGGCCCCGAGGCGGTCGCAGAGAACCCCACCCAAAGAGGCCCCCAGGCAGCACTTCAACACAGTCCGCTCCAAACGTGACGCAGCACTCTTGCGGCGTCGCGGCCACGCCACAACACCGCCAGCGCTTGCTTCCCAACACGCGACGCGGTGCGCCCGAGAATGTTCCCGATACCCCCCCCCCCCGGGGGGGCCGGGAACATGGCTCGACCGCTCCCGCTGCGCCCTCAGACCACAGCCCACACACGGCGGCGGAGCTGGCCGAAGGCCACTGGATCCACCGCCCCCTGCGGCTATTTCCACAAGGGTGCACGGCGTGCCAACCGTTGGATTGTTCTGGTTCTTTCAAACTCTTTCCGATGAGGTCTCGGCGCAGGCCGCCGCCCACCCGAAGAGACCCATAAAAGGTGCCTCCCATCAGTTGTCTTTCTCAGAATGGCCTCTAGATGGCCTTCAAGACGGCCGAGATGGCCCAAGATGGCCTCCAAGACGGTCTCAGACCAAAGCCCCCCCCCACACACACACACGGTGGCGGGACGGGCAGAAGGCCAGTGGATCCGACGCCCCCTATGTTCACAAGGGTGCTGAGCGTGCTAAGTGCGAAGGGCACTTCTGCCTGGCCTTCCACACTTCAAGCCTTTCGGCCCATCGTGCTGGACCCCTGAGCTCGTCGCCTACATAGCCTTTCCAATTCGGCCCCAGACGGCCTCAAGATGGCTCCAGATGTTGCAAAGATGGCCCACGATGGGGTCAACACGGCACTTAAAAGGCTGCGCGAGGCCTTCAAGAAGGCCCCAAGAGGGCGCAAGCAGGACGCCCAGACGGCCGCCATGGTTGATCGAACTTATAGCTTTTCGTGTGGTTGTCTTAAGCTCTTGATCCTCCAAGCTTTTGTGGCCTACGATGGTTCTATGCGGGCCTAGGATATCCCACCTCATATTCAAAGTGGTCCCAAGAGGTCCCCAAGATGGCCCTACGACGACTCAAGAGTCCACGACTCAAGAAATCCCCCGAGAGGCTCCTACATGATCAAGAGGTCCCCCCAATAGTCCTACGACGGCCGAGTAGTGCCCCAGAAGGGCCGCACAGGGCCCAAGATACCTCCAAGTGTCCCCCAAAAGCGCTGCAAGGTGGCACAAGGGTGAGGTCGCCAGAAGGGGCGACGGTGATTCGCCAGAGGCATCTCCGGCACATGACAGCCAGTGCAGCCGAAAGATCGCCACAATCGTGTGGAACAAGAACAAGAGTTCCTTCGCCAAGCGACCAAGGCCTCCTCATGGAGGCATCCATAACGAAGAACCTTCCACGGTGGAAAGCCTAAACGTGAAGAACATCAGGGTCCCCCTTGAAAGCCAGGTTTGTTCTTTTACCCTCGTGCCAGCTGCAAGGCAAGTGTGCGCATGGGATCGAGCCCCCCTCCCCGCTGGATGGGTACGCCCGCGAGCCTCGCGAAGGCTTCGCGAATGGGATCGCTCCCCCCCAGTGGTCGTGGCTTTGTGGGCGTGGCGTCGCGGAGGGTGCCGGTGCACCCCCCCTCCCTTCCCCCTGGGGGTGTTGGTTCGTCGTCGTCGTCATCGTCGTCGTCATCGTCGGCGGCGGCGGCGTCGGCGTCGGCGTCCCCCCCATCTTATCTAGGGGAGGGGGAGGCTGCGGAACCCTAGGACCCATCCCATCGGGGGGGGAGCTGTGACCCCTCGACCTGGGATCATACATCTACAGACAAGGCCCGCGCCTTCTAAGAAGCAGGGGCGCTTCTAAGAGCCCCCTGCCCCCGCCCCTGCGCGTGGCCGACGTTAGGAAGGGGCACAGATGCGCCGATGGCCTCTCCCAATGCGCCGCAGTCATTGAACTCCAGGTCGGGGCACGTCCGATAGTTTCGGCGCCTCGAAGGCGCGTCGTCCTCGGAGTCAGACGCGGCATCGGGGAGATCAATGAACGTGTTCTTCACGATGGTGCCTACATCGGGCACTCGTTTGCTCTTCGTCTCTCTCCTTCCCTCTCTCCTCCTCCTCCATCCCTCCCGAGCAAATGCTTCCTTCCTTTTCTCTCTCCGTACTCGTTCCCTGTTACCTCGCCACCACCTCCCTCCTCCCCTCCCCCCAGAACTCTGCCGTCGCGATTCTCTCACAAGCTAGGCCCTCTCCCGTTGCGAAGAAATTGCTCGGAACATGTTTGGCCCTTCTCGGCTTCTGGGGGCCCTTACCGAGCCCCAGGCTCGCCCAAAACGGTTCGGCATGATTATCTGGTCCTGGGGAAGTGGTGCAGACCTCCATGGGGCTACGTTGTGAAACTTACACCCTTGGCGACAGGACACCCTAATCATCTTCCTATAATGCGAAAGGGAGCAACACGTACTACACTATACTTTAACTCACATGTAGGACGAGGATTGCTGTCTCCCATGCCTTGGACAATTCCTGTCCGACCTCTGCATTTTCCTGTGCGTGTGTGCGTGCGTGCGTGCGTATGTGTGTGTGTGTGTGTGTGTGTGTGACGTTGGAGGTGTGTGTGTGTGTGTGTGTGTGTTCGTCTCGTTCATTCCCAACCATCATGTGGTGTCGGTTGCTCGTTTTGAAGAGACAGCGTCTCGCGTTCCACACTCCTTCCTCTTCCCGCTCTTCCCTCCTCTCATCCTTGCCTCTGCCCTCGACACAACCATTTTGGCACCATCTCGGCACACTCCTCACACGCTTCGTGCCCCCGTGGGGAGTTCCACCGAAAGCCCTAGCGGCAAAAGGTCAACATGCGTCCTCCGGACCATGTCGGTACACCCCTCACACGCTTCGTGGCCCCGATCGGGAGTTCCACCGAAGGCCCCAACGGCAAGGTCCACGTGCGTCCCCCGCCCCATGTCGGCAAATCCCTCACACGTTTCGTGCCCTCCATATAAGCTCCACCGAAAACCACAATGGTAAGGTCCACATGCGTCCTCCCGCTTTATTTCGGCACACCCCTCACACGTTTCGTGGCCCCGATCGGGAGCTCCACCGGAAGCGCCAGTTGGAGGGTCCACGTGCGCCCCCCGCCCCAGTTCTTCGGCACACCCTCAAACGCTTCGTGGCCTCATATGGAGCTCCACCTACGGCCCCAACGGCAAGTTCCACACGCGTTCCTCCACACTATTTCGGCACACCCCGTACACCTTTCGTGGGCACAGAAGGAGCTCCACCTAAGGCCCCAGCGGCAGGGTCCAAATGCGTCCCCCTGCTCCATGTGGGCACACCCCTCACACGCTTCGTGCCCCCATAGGGAGCTCCACGGAAGGCTCCGATGGCAGAGTCCACATGCGTCCCCCAGTCCGATTTCGGCACACCCTTCACACGCTTCGTGGTCTCATAGGGAGCTCAATCGAAGGCCCCAGTGGCAGGGTCCACATGCGTCCCCCCGCACAATTTCGGCACACCCCTCACACGATTCGGCAAGGTCCACACTCGTCCTTCCGCTCCATTTGGGCACACCCCTCACACGCTCTGTGCCCCCACAGGTAGCTCCACCGAAGGCCACAATGGAAAGGTCCACATGGGTCCCACGCGAAATTTCGGCACACCCTTCACACGCTTCGTATCCCCATGGGGAGCTCCACGGAAGGCCACAGCGGCAAGGTTCACATGCGCCCTCCCGCTTCATGTCGGCATACCCTTCACACGCTTCGTGCCCCCGTAAGAAGCTCCACCGAAGGCCACAGTGGCAGGGTCCACATGCGCCCCCCCCCGCCCCATTTCGGCACAGCCCTCACACGTTTCGTGGCCCCATAGGGAGTTCCACCGAAGGCCACAGTGGCAGGGTCCACACGCGCCCGCCCCGCCCTATTTCGGCACACGCTTCGCATGATTCATGGCCCCCATGGGGAACGCCACCGAAGACGACTCTCACAACTGCGTCACTCACAACTGCATATGGTTGGGGTCTTCGCCAAGATAATTGCCTCCATGTCCGTTCTACAATGCGGTGATCTGCTGCATCTGGGCCAGAGACGATGTCTGTTACAGACATACAAAGCGGTGGGCAATTTCCACGTCTGTTGCGAATCTCTGTGAAACAATACGATGTGGGCGGGCCACATGCGCGCGCTGACGTGCGCTAAAACGCAACTATTGGCTATTGATGCAACACTTCAAGACACGTTTCTTCGGTTCCACATGAGGGAAACCATGGCCCCAATCAGGGGGGATAGTGTGTTTACCA